AAATTACGAGGTCACGTAGCAGCTGGACCCGCCGGTGGGTCCGTAGGGTTCAAGGGGTTAGTGATAGGCGGAAATGGGATTTTGGCACAGTGCTATAAGTGCAAAAATGCATTTTTCCACTCATAAAAGGGAATCTGGTCAGACAAATATGCTGATTTCCATTATTGTAGACCTTCTGCATGAGACAAAGCCTTTGCTCCTAATATTTAGCCGTTGTTTCATTGAAATTTACCAATAATATCACCAAACTGAATAGAAAATAAGAATAACAGAGCAAGCTTATGTGACGCATGCCGGTTACATCACCTGAAATGGTCGCACAATGACCTCCGATCCCTCCTTGGAAAGGTCAGAGCCTCTAGTTTCATATGATACTGGCCATTAGGGGACGGGGCTAAAAATTAAAACCTACTGTTGCATTACTACCGCAGTCACACGCCAGGTGGAATTTTAAATCTCATTTTATCTGTTTACACAGTCATTAAAACAAAAAGTCTTTGTAAAAAAATCATTTTGAAAAATGTTTTAGAAATTTTAAAGCCCCATTTGAAAGGCGTGTGGATGAAACACCATGTGACTCTGTTTTGACCATTTCTAAAAATAGATAAACATGAGCAGGTGTCAGTTGGACCCTGAACCGGCCCGCGGGCTCAAGGGGTTAAAGGTGTCGGGGTCTTTTCTGATCAATCTGTTTTTCCCGCACTGACTGCGGTGGGTTGGCTGACGGCTCCGTCCAGACATGTCCTTCAGGAGCAGAGAGGAGAGGAAGGCGGAGCTAAAACTCCTGATGAACCTAAAGTCTATTGGTCAAAGATGTAGGCCTGAGTCTCTGATTGGTTAGGCTGTAGAGGCTATGGGAGGGGCTACAGTAGAACGATATTTATTAGAGATTATCTGGTTTAACTCATAGATCAGAGTCAAATACTCTATTACACTATTATTTTGACAATAAAAACTTAAAAGACATCTTTGTAAGAAAATATTTATGTTTATTTGGAGTTCAAACTTAGATTTAGAGCTGATATTTGTCTGAGCTTTTTAACTTTAATAAAACCACCAAATAATGACTCAACACTGCTGGTATTAACAGTGTTTAGCTGAACAGGAAACTGCAAAGCAAGCAGTGTTCACCTGATTGAAACTAAAGGTTGTTTGTTTCTGACTGGTTTGGGATATTGGTTGGGATTTAATAACTGATGAATTAGTGAGGGTCTGGGCCTGCTCCCCCTGGGATTAGTTTATGGTTTGGTAGAACAATGTTTCTGTTTATAAAGTATATCTCCATCAGGCTGTCTTCACATGTTTGGTTTTATGAAAAAAAAAAAAAAAATCCAGGATCAAAACCTGACAGGGAGACGGTGGAATGAACATAGAAAATGATCAGAGATGCATTTCAGACAGAATAAATTTGAGAGTTTTATTTCAGGGTTTTAGATGTTTGGATTTAAAGCTCAAACATGAAGTTTAAAAAAAAGGTTAGCATCATATCCAATATAAACTCTGCAGCTTCTGTCTGACCTGCATCATAGAGGATGTGTTTAATTGTCTTATTCAGCTCATGCTTCCCAGTTGCTTTATTTAACATCTATTCTCTCCCTCTTGAACAAACACAGAAATATTAAGCGGAATAACATCAGAATAAGGCAGGGGCTCATGTTGAGGTTTTATCCAGACCTGGGGCCCCCGCAAATCTGACAAAATTAGTGTCCAACGTTTGTGCAGCAACAATTTTTGTTTGTGCCGCTATCATTTTAAAGATATAAAGAAATATTTCTAGAGGTCATCAAAGGTCAACCAGCCCCCCCACCTTATTCACTTCAGACGAAATGGGTGTCAATTAACTCAGCTCCGTTTGTGCAGCAAAACATTTCGTTTGTTCCGCTATAATTTTTTTACAGTTTAAAATTATATTATCATAGGTTAGCAACTTATAATTTATATGAAGTTCAGAGTTTCAGAATGAACAAATGTTCACTCACCTTTGATGGCTTCTATAGACAATTATTATTAAAATGATAGCAGTACAAAAAATGTATGTATTTTAAAATATGCATTTTTAATTTTTTTATATTTTTTATATTTTAAATTCATTTTAAAATTTTATATTTTTGTATGGCAAAAATTGTCATTTGTACTGCTATCATTTCAATGATATTAATAATATTTTGTAGAGGTCATCAAAGGTCAGTTTTTGCTGCACAAACGAAGCAGCATTAATTGACCCCCACTTTGCCTCATTTGAAGAAGGTGGGGGGGCTGGTTGACCTTTGATGACCTCTAGAAATATATCTTTAAAATGGTAGTGGCACAAACGAAAATTTTTGCTGCATAAACGTTATTTTAACTAATTTTGTTTGATTTGCAGAAGGTGGGGGGGGCAACTTCACTCAGGTTTCAAATTATAGTAATCAGTCCTTAAATCATAAAAAACATCAAATATGTAAAATAAAATATTTGAAATTGTATAAAATATTACTGTTTTTTCAATCTGGATGATAGAAAATTGGACTTTGAAAGAGTTTAGGTTGTATTTACCCTTTCATGTGTTTTTACAGTTATTAGTTACTGTAAAATACTTTAGTTTAATAATCCTGATCCCTGTGTGGGATTGCACGGTTTAATGATGCCAAAGTCAATTCATGAATTAAATCTTTATTTGAACTCTAGAAGGGTCTGATTGTTAGATTCGTCTCTAAACTGAGCTGCATAATGAAGACAGAATAAGGCAAAGGAACAAAGATTCATCCACAGTGTATCTGTGCTTAAAACCTCTGAGTTGATTCATCATAAAGTTAAACCTTCTCTGCAGCTGAAAACTCAGAAATGTTTCTGCTCAGGTGAATCAGCTTGGCTTAACTTTAGGATTGAGTTATAAACCTTGAGTAGAGATATAATAATGATCCTTTTTTTGACAGGAGATGAGATTTTGGAGGTAAACGGAGAGTCGCTCCAAGGACTCACTCACCAACAGGCCATCCAGACCTTCAAGGTGAGCTTCAGTTCTACTGGTGTTCAAATGGTTGATGCTTAGGTTGTCATTTTTTGGTTAGTGCTCCGTTTTTAAATAAAGTTTTGAATTGACGTTGGAGGCCATGTGTAAAAATCTCAGTCTGTTGCTTTTTCACCCTTTTAATCGACATTTTCTCCATATTTCCAACAGCATTTGAAAAGAGGTGTTGTGACGCTCACGATTCGCACCCGTCTGCGGAGTCCCAGTCTAACTCCATGTGCAACGCCAACCCTTCCCAGTCGCTTCAGCTCCCCCAGTTCTTACACCAGTGAGGGCGCCCCTTCGCCAACAGGCCTGGAAGAGGCTGACGGCCTCAAGGGTCCCGGCTTGGGTCCAAAAGACTTTGTCATTATGGAGGTTACTCTTAATAAAGGTGAGAATATGAGGGCATATTGTTGCAATATTATTGTGTGTCTGTATATAGATTTGCGTGTCTACAGTGGGATTCGAAGTGTGAGGACATTTGTGTGTCTGTACAAGAATCTGCAATGTGTAAAATAATTTGTCTGTAATCTGATTTGCAAATGTTAAAAAATCCACAAATCTTTATTCGGATCTACTAATGTTTGCTAAGATTTGGAAATACGTAATGAGATCTAAAAATGTGTAGATCAGTATGTAAACACTCAGAGACATTTAAGTCTGAAGGATTTTCGCTTCAATATCCAGAAATACAGACGAATCATTGGTTA